CCTGCCAAGCTCTGCCTTCATGCCTTTCATGAACAGATCAATGTGCAAACATTTGAAAACCCTAAATAACATAATAGCTACTTGAATGCATGCTCAAAAAAAGGCCCCAGAACCAAACGGATTTCAAAACTGTTACACCTACATAATGTACCTAATACAAATCTACAAAACCAAGGAAATAAGAGAAAGGGGCAGCACATAGCACTACCATTTCCAAAGCTGCCCTGCCCCACAGACCATACCCATCAGCTTTTCCTCTAAGCCGCAGTGGAAGCCTACCTCCCACCCTTCTTTGCCATATCACCCCTCAAACAGAACATGCAACACCAGCATCAGGTGGAGCTGGTAGCGTTGGGAAGAAGAGACTGGGTAAAGAACGTGATGAAGAACAAGCAGAGGAGTTATTACAGTGTGGTGTGTTGTTTGTTATGCATAAGAACAATACCAAGATGTATGGGGGGGATGTGTCAAAACACACCGCCACTGGCTAGTAGTCCAGCCTGAAATTCAAAGATGACCAGCAGCTGCAGCTGTGTTGTGTGCTGTGGTTGCTGAGGGCATCCTCCTCTGATAATTGAGCATCACGCATTTATAATGAGGCAGTGAGATTCTTCACCTTACACTGCCCCACAGGCTGCTGGCATTAGCCCAGGTCCATTTTGTCTTCCTTGCTCTTGTGAACTCTCTCTGTGTCTTTCTTTTTGCAATGGAACAAGCACCTGTGGAGATAAGATCCCTTTTTTCTCTGTTACCCTTCAAACCGCAGGGTGTTTGCTTGGAGCGATGCTTGTTAGCAGGAGCAATGCAAAAAGTTCCCCATGGGGAAATAGCAGTGGTAAAAGAAGAAAACTGAAGAAAGTGACGTGACCTTGGTGGACAGCTATTGAAGGAAAAAAATAAGAAAAAAAAGCAAGAGGGAAAGCTAATTGGAAAGGGGCTAATATGCAAGGCAATATAAAATATAAAAAGGTACAATAGGAAAACAAACAAACAAACAAAAAAGGAACAACAAACAGAAGGAGAAGGTATAAGCAATAAAACAAGAGAGGTAAAAAGATGAATCAAATCTCTCGCCTTCCTAAGGGGTTGTACCGCAACCTGCCTTATCTTTTTTTTATATAAATTTATAAATAAACTTCATTAGCTTATTTCCTGTCAGGGGGAATATAAAAGATGTTAATAAGTTCTTGCAGAGGGTAAATAGTTTAAGGGGATGATACTAGTGATACTGAAGTATTAAAATAAAGATCAAAGCCAGGACCGCTAGAATAGGGCTTCTAGGTTATCCATATACCATTACAGCTCTAACAGATTAAAGACTCATTTGAACATAAAAAGAGGAAAAATCATAGGGATCATCTCCATTATAAAAATGGCTTGATTACAAAACATAGTAAAGGCCTGATTCTATCAGGCTCAGATCCAACAGTGCTTTATGAATAGCTCCACTAAAATCAGTGGGATCGACTTGGTGTGATCTGTTCCTCAGCAAGAGTAAGGGTGTCCAAAGTCATTTTGGGGGTTTTACAGGGGTTGCTTGACCACCGTGGCATTTTTCAATGTTCAGATCAGTTTCAGTTCTGGCCTCTGGAGCAGTAAGGATGACAGCAATGTTTTAACTCCATCATCAGTAGCTCACTTAGAGTTACATAGATAAATATTTGTCAGAAGGAGGAAAATGCGTGCCCTACAACCTAAACCCATCAGAGCATTGAGTATTGTTACAGTAGATGCTAGTTCCATCAGCAGTCTCTGGTGCTATGGAGGATGAAGGTTTCTGCATTCAAACTCCACACTTTCTTGGAAACAAGAGATGTTCTGGGATCAGCGGGATAAGTAAAAGGGTGCAGCAGCCCTTGCAGCTCCCCCTTCTCTCAAAGTCATAGCTTCTAAAGGTACAAACTTCTAAAGTAGGTGGAAAAAGATGTTGAATGAAGTACAAGTTACACCACAGTACAGAGAAGACCAGATCACTTCTTCATCTCCATTTCAAATGTTGTCTCTTGTGGAAATATGTTCTGAGGCCAAATCAGGTTTGTGGAGAGGAGAAGTGAAGTTCAGTTTGAAAGAGAGTGGTTGTACTTCACATTTCCTTCTGTAGTCAAGAGCAAACAATTCTAGGATTTCACATAAACTCTAGAGTAATTGTCAATATGGAAATGTGAAACTCACTGTATTAGAACTGTGGAAGTTGGGAGCCCTGGCTAAAAAGCAGCTATAAACAGGAGCTGGTTGGGTTTGGTGTTCAAACCTTTTCATTTCCACCACTTCTTGTCTGATACGTCCAGTTTGGCTTAGATGTCTCAGACCCAATACTACCATTACACACATTATGAGAACTGTCACCTTACACACAACACAGGTAAAGAAAGCAAGCAGAAGTCCAGGAAAAAAGGCTACCATGCCTCCTTAATTACCTTTAGGATTATGGTTTCCAATGTAGACTTGAAATTTTGTCCTTGGATTCACCTATAGAACTGCAAAAAATCTTTAGCATATATCTACTCCTGCTGCTGACAGATGGTAGAGCAGAGAACAGAGACTATGAAGAAAACTGCATTTCACCCACAGCTTTTTCTTGCAATATAGTAGCATAGGTAGCTGTGAAATCAGTGGTGTTTCAGAATATGCCTTGCACTGTTGAGGTTTCTGGCCAGAGGTAGCCAAAATACACAGTCAGTCTATAAACTCTCAATCTTGATACAGAGGTCACATGAAAGTAAAAGACACCTAGCCAGAAGACAGGCAGGTTTATGTGGGTCAGAACTGTTTCTTTTATGTGCCAGAGGACAAACCTGCCCCTTGCCACCTTGAGCTGGGCAACTCCCAAGCTATAAACCCCTGGGGACTTTTTTCCCCCTCAGCTTGACAGGAAAATAGCTAGGCAAGATACAAGAAGAAAAACGGCAGAGGAACCTTTAATATATTCCTGTCCTCTGTCCCTATTCCTCCTTTTCTATGCATCAACAGTTCTAATAATCTTTGGGTTTTGCAAAAGCAAAACCTAAAACTAGAAAATCCTTTCCTATCCGGTGTCACAAAATGCTCATTGTGTCCTAAGAAACATTATGATGAGAGCGGAACATTTAATACGTTCTCTCTTTTCTTTTTTTTTCATTTGACACCAGATAGTTCTGCATTTTTAAATAGCTGCTCTGAAACAATCAGCTCACATTTTAAAACAAACAAAAAATTAATTAGTGGCTTTTAAACAGGAGAGACTAATAATAATAGGGAAAAAAAAAGAGTAGTGAAATCACTCTTATGTATAATCTCTTCACTATGAAAATAAAGCCCTGCTACATCCACGCTAAGCATATGTAGAGTAAACAAAACAGATGGAGGATTTCCCACTGCTGGTTTCTTTCTTCTAAGGACGGTTATTTTCAGTCCATAAACTTTCAGCTGTCATCCCCCATTTATCTTGGCGGTGAATTTCTGTTGGGGTTGGGGGGCCAGGAGCTCGGGTGATGCGGCTCGTCCCCCTGCTCCCCGCACTCAGCCCTCCCTTCCAGCCTCACCGTTCCTACCCGGGGGTCGCGCTGCTCCGGTCACCCCCTTTTTCATTCTCCCCTGACATTGTGTGCACCTCGGCTGTGCCCGGCGCGGTGAGGAGACACGCGTGAAGAAGAAGGACTCTCTCAGTTTGTTGGCGAGCGTCCTTCTCTCTCCCTTCTTCGGGGAGGGGAGAAAGGGCTCCTGGGGACAAGCCAAGCCTTCATTCTGCCACCCAAACAATGGCTGGATTTAAACGTATAAAATCGCCGCCGTAGAGAGACCCTTTAAAAAAAGGTTCTGGCCGTCCCCAGCCGTAGAGAGGAGCGACCACTTATTTGCTGGAAAGGGCTCCTCCCGCCCCCTCCTACTCCCTCCCTCCCTCCTCCCCCGGCTCTGGCTGGGGTCCCCCGGGCGAGGGGTCCTCAAAGAAAACCATTGAGCACAGACCCGCATAGCGCAACCGACAA